CGCCGACTTAGACTGAAGGAGTACCATGCGCAGGACGCTGATCGCGATCGCGATGAAGCTAGCCAGGACATGGATACTATTCACAACGCTCGTTTATTTGGAGCACCACCATCTGTGTCCTATTGGACACCACCACCACCTGGTCGTAATGATACTCTGGATCATTATATAAGTGTGTGTAGACGAGAAATACATACTATTAAGTTTAATAATCAGAAATGGCAAAGTAGCAATATAACTCGTCAGGAACGTGACGCTCTAAATTCTCTAAAGTCACGACGTGATGAAATTGTTATTAAGCCAGCTGACAAGGGTGGGCAGTGGTGGTTTGGCGTAGAGATTTGTATCTGATGGAGGCAGAGAGGCAGTTATCGGATACAGACTCCTACCGGGCACTTGATGTGGATATGACGAATGAAATACAACGGGAAATAGGTGATGTGGTTAATGGCTATATTGCTAAAGGTGATTTGCCGAAAGAGGCCAAAAATCTTATAGTGCGCAGACCACGGACATCAGTCTTTTATCTATTACCTAAGATTCACAAGGTAAACAACCCTGGTAGACCCATTGTCTCAGCATGTAATTGTCCGACTGAGCACATAGCTCGATATTTGGATTCAATGTTGAGACCAATTGTTACGTCACAGCCTACGTATGTTCAGGATACTAATGATACACTTAGGAAACTAGAGTTATTTCGTTTCACACCGGATAAACCCAGATTTTTGTTTTCTATGGATGTAAAATCACTTTATACATCTATTCCGCACACTGATGGACTGTTGGCTTTACAGCATTTTCTGAATAAAAGGGCAGTTAAGGATCCTCCTACGTTTGTGTTGGTGCGCTTAGCGGAATTAGTTTTGAACGGGAATTGTTTTTCTTTTAATGGTAAACATTATATACAGAAACGAGGTGTGGCTATGGGCAGTTGTTTTGGTCCGAGCTATGCATGTTTATTCATGTCATATCAAGAGGAGTTAATTTTTTTCATCCTTTCAAGGCACTAAACCTGAATTTTATGTCAGGTGCATTGATGATGGCTTTGGTGCCTTGTCAAGCAGTCGGGATGAGTTATTACAGTTCATTGACTTTGTAGCAACTTTAATCCCGCCATACAA